TGAACTGGGGAAATTGAAGTCAGAATTTCCAAGACAGACAGGATGATGCATTTTGAAGTATTCAAACTGAGTGAAGGAGAGCTGTTTTAATTTCTGAAAAGAGGGCACATTGTGGTAAGAAGCCTAACCTTGAGAATGTAGCTTATTTGACTCTGTAACTCAGTGCGGGGGAAAACATGCGCTAGTCTCTGCCAGTGCTGGACTACAAATCACAGTACCCAAAACTAGTAATTGCACCTTCCATGTTTCGCATTACTTTGAATTTATAAAAATATCTCACATTTTCCAGTTGGAGGAGGTGTTGAGGAGCTGATACTGTGTTATGTACACTGCAGAGATTATCACCTCAGACTAACAGCCTAGTTCTTAACCAGAATATTCAGAAAAAAGCTCTTGGCCGCTCTGCAAGTATGCAACCTTTTCCCATACAGCAAAGGAGGGGTACATTTTTTCATCTCAAAATTCACTTTCAGAAAGCTCTTAGGAACCACATTCAAATGGCAAAAGAGAAAGCCCAGAAATATTAGGCATTTTAACTTTCTAGAATTGCTGAGGGCAACTGTAGAAAATTTTGTCAACCACCATATAAAAGAATGTAGCTTCTCCAAATGACATCACATTTTCACCCTATACCATTCAATATGAAAAAGTATCTACTCTGAATAATTACATTCTCAATCAACAAAGCAAAAAAGAAAATACAGAGTTTTGAAAGGGACTTCTGATAGTACACATATGCTATGGCATAAATAAAATTTAGGACAAACCTGTTTCCATTTGTGTACCTCTAGCTTGCATTGAGACTGTAAAATAACCATCATGGGGCTGTTTCCAGTCAGATGGCTAGCAGCTAACCGAAGTGGTTCTCAATACCTGAAAGAAAACTTTTAAATATTCTCCTACTTGTATCTTTCAGTCTTTGAGTACCAGTATATCTTATAAAAGACACTTTTAAATATAAGCTAGAGGTGAAGCGATTTTTAAGCTCTCTCTTTGGTAAGTTTGTTTACTGTCTCTTTGAATGTTGAGAAAGCATAAAAAAGGAGTGAAGAGCTAAGGTGGAAGTGAGATAAATCTCATCCTTTGGATCGCAGTTTATCAAGGCTTCAAGAGTCAAATCTTGTGATGGGGCAACAGCCGTGGGTGACTCTGTTGAAAGTTTGGGGATCTGTAACTGAGAAAAGCAAATGGGTGTATTGTTTCCAGAACTTCTTGAGTCAGAGGAGGCAGGAAGCAGCTGCCTGCAGCATAGATCTGCAGCACAAAGAGGAATGTTCTGAGTTACAGGAAGGAGAAAGTGTTTCAAACAGAAACACAGAACTAATAATAGAGATACAACTAATAGTAAGAGAAGTGAAATGGTGAGAGTAGATTACTAGAATTTAAGAAATTAATGGAGAAAATTGCTTAAAGGAGCTTAAAACAATTGGGATCATGAATTAAAATGCAAATAAAGAGATAGTGACAGAAATTAAAACAGCATTACATAAGACAATATCTGAGGTTAAAGATGAGTTGAAAATACTGGGTGAGAAAGGGAAGGAAATTTACTAAATGGATAAAACTTATGCTGTAAAATTATACTGGCATGTCAGGTTTGCTGAACTTGATAGAAAATTGATTGATTTGGAAATAGAGGATGGAGGAAAAATAAGATATTGTGTGAATTCTCAGAAGGATGTCCTGAGGATGGAAGAAATCTTAGATACAGTGTTGGAGTGGAACAAGATAGTGGTACCAAATTTGGGTTGCGTTCAAGAGGACTTGCAGAGACTGTATTGATTGGATTTTAAGTGTGGATGCAGAATATCTCCTAGAGATGTTGTTGTGGGACTTGCAATTTTTTAAAAGGAGCTGTTTATGAAAACACCTGGAGAAAAATCCGGAGAGCTGTTAGATAAAGATGCATTGATTCAAGTGTTCTGGGATCTTTGTTTCTAAACAGCAACCTGGAGATGCAGTTTTAAAGCTCATTACCACTGTCCTTGTGAAGAATAAAATAAGGTATAACTGGGGGTACCCAGTATACCTGAGAGTTCTATTTGCTGGAAAATACCACGGGATAATGTTGTAGGATCAAGACTTAAGTTTCCTCCATGAGTGGGGTTTGATTGATGAGCAGCAATGGGAACAAGAGACGGCAAAATTGGAGGAGAAGCAGCAAGATCAGAGACTCAAAATGATGAAGAGAGAGCAGCTGGTGGAAACTTGTTGGACCAGTCTGTCCGCCCAAGGGGATAATCTAATGTATTTGATACCTGCATTCAGCAAGATATAAAGATGTGCTTGTGAACTATATGGGTTTTTTTTTACATTTTATTTAAATTCACCTTTTAGATATAATATAACTTATCAATAAGATTATAGATTTTGAGAAATAGTTAATTTGTGCATAGGTAAGGAGAAGAATTGAGGTAGATGTGGTATGAACACTATGGTGATTGGTCTGAGAAATGATGATAGAGAACTATGACTGGCTGTTAACCTGAGGAATTGTTTGGGAGTTAATAAGTACGTATGTATCAGTAAATCAAGGGGGGAAAGATTGTAAAAGGAAAATAGATGAGGATGAGGTGTGAACTGGTAAGCTAGTAATTATTATTTCATAGTAGATTATCCTAAGGGCACTATTAAGTTCTTTAGATAAAGATTTTTTATCAGGGAAGAGAATAGAAAGATATATGACAGAATGAGTTATGTTTATAGTTGTAGATTATCCTAAGAGAATTGTTAAGTAAATAATAGCTGTTGATAGAATTCATACAGATGGAAAGAGAAGATTAGGATAAAGCAGAGATAAGATGGAAATACCATTTAAATAGACTGAGGTAGAAGGGAACAGAATAAGGAATATTAGGATTGGTGGATTTGAATATACTGTACAAGGGATAGAAGTTAAAATACTAAATATATTTGGATGCTGAGTGAAGTAGGAGTATAAGTAATAAGTGTGGAAGATTGGGGGGATTTGAGTAGCTGCTGGTTTGAGGATAGATTCCTTCCACTCCTGAGGAGCAAACTGTAATTTGGGTATTGGAACCTCAGCAGAGCAAGAAGGAATTATTTATGTGCTGGGGTGGTGGATTAGGGGAGAGATTGACTATCCTGTTTCCCCCAAAATAAGACCTAACCTGTAAATAAGCGCTAGCATCATTTTTCAAGATGCTCGTAATATAAGCCCTACCCCAAAAATAAGCCCCAGTTAAGTAAAACCCTGCCTTCCACCAATGTGCAGCAACCAGAAGATGACATGACTGTATTTGAATAAATGTAGATGGTGGTACAAAGATAAAACATCCCCTGAAAATAAGCCCTAATGGTTTTTTTGGAGCAAAAATTATATTATAAGACCCTGTCTTATTTCTGGGGAAACAGGGTAGTTTGGTTAGGGATGGGATGATATTTGGTATTTTTTAAGTATTTGGGGGGAGTTCACAATATGGAACCAGAAGGGTGAAACGGTGATAAATATAATTAAAAGTAAGAGTTCCAACTTTCAATTTAAAAGGCCTTAGGATTATTTTAAAAAGAAAAAGAATTGAGGCATTGTTAAATAAAGATAAAGCGGATATAATATTTTTACAAGAGATGTATCAAGTAAAAAAAAGAACTTAAATTTGAATTGATCCGATATTTATAAAAAGGCATATGGAAATTCAAGGTTAAGAGAGTTTGCAGCTATTATCTCTAAGAAATGTGAATTTAAAATGAACAAAATGAAAAAGATAAAGATATTGAATGTTACAAAGTACATTGGGAGAAGAATAATATACAGTACTTTAATGTTTACTCTCCCAATGGCAATCAAGTTAGTTTTTTTAAGGGAGTCTTTAAAGAATTGGAATAAATATGGTTTGCAAGAATGGCAGGGAATTTTTATTTTAATGGATAAAGAGAAACATAAAGCAAACTCACTTAGAGATGAGAAAAGTAATAATATGGCTTTGAATGGAAGGATAGGAGGTCTAATCTGAGAGATGTTTGAAGAATGATGAAAGGAGATAAAAAGAAATTTGCTTTTTATTCTTCAGTTCATAAGCGTCACTCTAGGACAGATTATGTATCTATATATCTAAAAAATTATTTTGAGAGTGACTAATACATCAGATATTAAATATGATTATAGAAAAATTTGCTTTTTATTCTTCAGTTCATAAGTGTTACTCTAGGACAGATTATGTATCTGTATATCTAAAAAATATTTTGAGAGTGACTAATACATACAGATATTAAATATGATTATAGACAAATATAAGTATTTTTCAGCAAAATAATATGACAAAATAGAAAGTATTTTTCAGCAAAATAATATAATAGACAAAATAGAAAAAATAAATGGTGGAAATATGGGCAATTAATGATAGAAAGAGTTGCTGTAAGAATATTACATAGGAGACTATGATAGCGATGAGGAGAGGAATTAGTATTAGGGAATCATGTAATTTTAAAAGCCAACAATATAAACATATAAAAACGGTGGAGGAAGAAATAATATTGATGGAGATAAATATTTAATGGATAGAGATTAAACATTACAAGAAAAAAATTAGAGAATATTGAAATGGAGAAAATTCAGAGAAATGCAATATATTTGAAAAGTTTTTTTTAAATTTAGTAATAAAAATTCAATAATGTTGGCTAGAACTGTGAAAGGCAAAATAAAACCTAAGAGTTTAACTGAAATAGTTTATGAAATTGGTAAAAGGTGCTATTTGATTAAAAAGAAATAAGTCTAGATTATCAAAAATTATATACTGGGGTTACGTTTTATTTCAGAAGAACTAGAGAATATATTGAGTCAAAAAGGGGAATAGACTTCAAGACATGAATAGAGACTTAATGGAGCAACCAACTAGAGTAGAAAAGACTGAAGAAATTATTCATAAATTAAAAGTAGGAAAGACTTCAGGAATAGATTTGTTGGAACTGGAAGTATAATAAAACTTTCAGGAAAATATTGGTACTTAAATTAAAATCTCTTTTTAATAAAATAATGCTAGGTGAAAAGATTATTATCTTGAAAACATTTGTTAATTATATTAGTTCCAGAATAAGGATTCGATGGATCTTGGAGTGTACAGGTCTATTTCCTTAATAAATCAAGATGCCAATATTAGAAGAATTGGAAATCTTAGTTCAGGAGAGTAAATATGACTTGATACGAATAACAAACTTGGTTGGATGACTACCGTGACAGGAAAACAGCAACTGAAGGACATAAATTGTTCAAAAAGAACAGAAAGAATAGTAAGGGAAGTGGAGTTGCAGTATATGTCAAAAATACGCATTCCTGCATTCCGTACAGGAGGAGGAGATTGACCGCCCCATTGAGAGCATCTGGATCAATCTAGTTGGAGCAGAAAACAAAAGGAGCACAGTAGTTGGAGTCTACTACCAACCACCCAATCAAGGAAAAGATGCAGATGAAACTGTTGAAAAACAAACTGCAAGTATTTCAAAGAGACATGATGTAGCAGTGATGGGAGATTTCAATTATCCTGTTGGGAGGCAAATTCTGAAAAGTATGGCCCTTCCAAGAAATTCCTGGCTTGTGTGGCTGATATTTTTCTCCAACAAAAGTGGAGAAAGATTCTAGAGGACAGCTATCCTTGACTTGATTCTAACCAAAACAGAAAACTTGGTGGAGGAAGTGGCAATAAGGGGAACTCTGGGCAAGAGTGATCATGTTCTACTAGAATGTTTGATTTCAAAGGAAACCAAAGCAGAGTATAGCCACACATAAATGTTGGATTTCAAAAAAGCCAATTTTAACAAATGCATTCTTAAGGTATATGTGTAGCAAACGACAAAAGAAACAGAGGCCCAGCTACTCAATGGAGATGGGGAAATGATAGCAGATGACAAAGAAAAGGCAGAAGTGCTCAATTCCTATTTTAGTTCAGTCTTTTCCCAAAGGACAGACTATGACTTGCCAGATAAATGTGAAGTGCAAGTGGAAGGGACAGGACTGCATCTGGAGACTGATAAACAAATAGTCAAGAAAGACCTCACTACCTTGAGTGAGTTCAAAGCAATAGAGTTTATTGGCCAACATCTCCTCAGACCTGTAAAACTATGGAGATTCCATAAAATTTAGTCCTATTGTAACAGACTGTATATTTTAATTGTATTTTCGTGTTAGTATAATATAACAATATTTGAATATATCTGCTGGTCAGTCACTGCAATAAAGAACAGGATCAGATTCAGATGAATTCAGATCTCCACAGGCAGATAAACTGTATCCAAGAGTACTGAAGGAGCTGACTGATGAGTTCTCAGAACCACTGTCATTATTTTCTTGAAATAATGGGAAAGGTGCCAGGTGATTGGAGGAGGGCTAATGTTGTCCCTATCTTCAAAAAGGACAAAAAGGAGGAACCAGACCAGTCAGCTTGACATCAGTCCCAGGGGAAATTCTGGAACAGATTATTAATCGGTCACTATGCAAGCACTTAGAAAACAGTGCAATAATAACTAGAAGTTAACAGATTTGTCAAGAACAAATCCTGTCAGACTAATCTGATTTAATTTTTTGATTGGGTAACCTCCTGATAGACAGAGGGAATGCTATAAACATAGTATATCTTTACTTCAGCCAAGCTTTTGACAAAGTGCCCCACAAGATTCTGATTAGCAAGCTAATAAGGAGTGGAATGGATACAACAACTGTCACATGGATACACAGTTGGCTACAGAATCATACTCAGAGGGTGATGATTAGTGGCTGCTTCTCAAACTGGATGGAGGTAACAAGTGGGGTACTGCAGGGCTCAGTCCTGGGCCTGGTGCTCTTCAACAGTTTTATTAATGACCTGGATCAGGGGGTGCAGGGAATGCTAATCAAATCTGAAGATGATACAAAATTGGGTAAAATAGCTAATACCCTGAAAGACAGAAACAAAATTCAAAAAGATCTAGAGATGATATTGAACATTGGGCTGAAAACAACAGGATGATATTTAGCAGGGATAAGTGCAAAGTACTGCACCTTGGAAAAAGAAACCAAATGCACAGTTACAAGATGAGGGATACTTGGCTCGGCAACACTAGAAGCGAGAAGAATTTTGGAATTGTAGTAGATCACAACATGAATATGTGGCAACAGTGTTAGGCTTCATTAACAGGAGTACAGTTTTCAAATCCTGCAAGGTACTAGTTGCCCTCTATTTGGCACTAGTTAGGCTTCATCTTAGCGACCTGTCCAGTTCTGGACATCGCACTTCAAGAAGTATGTCAATAAACTGGAACAAATTCAGAGGGCAACATGGATGATCAGGGGACAAGAAACCAAGCCCTATGGGGAAAGACTGAAAGGACTGAGAATGTTTAGCCTTGAGGAAAAAAGACTGAGTCTGAAAGAACTGAGAATGTTTAGCCTTGAGGGAAAAAGACTGAGCGGTGCTATAACAGCACTTTTCAAATATTTGAAAGGCTGTCATACAGAGGAGGGGCAGGATCTGTTCTCAATCATCCCACACAACAATGGGCTCAAATTACAGGAAGCCAGATTTCAGCTAAATGTCAGGAAAAAGTCCTAATTGTTAGAGCAGTATGGAAATGGAATCAATTCCTCAGGAAGTGTTGAGTGCTCCAACACTGGAGGCATTCAAGAGAAACTTAGACAACCACCTGGCAGATATCCTTTGATTTGTAATTCTGCATTGAGCAGGGGGTTGGACTTGATGACCTTATAGGCCCCTGCCATGTTCATTTTTCTATGATTCTATTATTAGCAAAGATAATTAATCATTTTATTATTAAGTATATTAAAGATCAAAGCAGTTATTAATGGGGAAAATGGCAATTTTTAGAGAGTGTTAAATGCAAAAAATGTAATAAGAAAAACTGAAGGCAGGAATAGTTTTATTTGATATTTTCAAGGCATTTGATTATGTAGAATGGCCAACATTAAAAATGATACCGTGTTTCCCCGAAAATAAGACAGGGTCTTATATTAATTTTTGCTCCAAAAACGCATTAGGGCATATTTTCAGGGGATGTTTTATTTTATAGTCATGTCGTCATCTGGTTGCTGCACAATGCTCAACAATGGTGGAGGGTGGGGTTTCACTTAACTAGGGCTAATTTTTGGGGTAGGGCTTATATTACAAGCATCCTGAAAGATCATATTAGGGCTTCAGGTTAGGTCTTCTTTTTGGGAAAACGGTAATAGGACAACTAAATAAATTGAAATTTATTAAGAGTGGCATTAATTATAGCTATGAATTGGAAAACAAAGTATGATTTTCAATTAAATGAATGGTATAAAGAGGTTTGGATTTAGCTATTAATAGTAAGTTAATCTTTAATATTAAAGTAGGGGTTAAGTAAGAATAGTTTTATAGATATTTGGGGAGAATTTATTGATTTTGTATTCATAAAAGGGAAGGGATGTGCACCTCTGCAGTTTTAGAAGGGAAGGGGGCTCTATAAAGGTTGATAAAATTGGTTGTATCTCCCAGTGGTCTCAGGGGGCACAATTTGTATAATTTTGGTGGTTTCTGTTATTAGATGTTTATAAGATTGCATGTTTTTGGTTTTTAAAAATTAAAAAATAATATTTAACTATTATTCAAAACAGTGCTGTTTGACTTTAGGTGCACTGTATTTTGTCTCTTGCTTAAAGACAGCATGCTCATCAGAAAAACTGAACTCTTGGCAATGTTAGAAATATTACAGGTGTCTCTTCCTATTATTCTATTCTCTGCTCTGCAGGTTAGGTACGGTAAGTGTTTTCTATTTCTGAATGGAACCACTTACTATTCTTAAACACTTGTTTTCAAACTGAGGTGGAACAAGGTACCAACTTACCTATGCCATGTTGTTTGTGCTGCTGCTGCAAGGAGGTAACAAAATATGTCTAGGTAAATAAGGGGCTGTAGCAATAGGGTCTTGTAATTACACATTTAGAGTTTAAATATTGGAAAAGTAGGCATCCGATGTATGTCATGTTTTGAAAACTTGAAAGACTTTAAAATGAGGTGGAGGACTTTTTGGCATTTAAGTAATTTAGACTACAACTCTCACTATTGGCCGTGCTAGATGGAGTTATGGGACACAGCTTCTGGAGAGTCGAAGATTCCTCAGCCCTGCTTTAATTCTTTCTGGTTTCATAACTTCTTGCTGTTTCTGTTAAACAGATGTCTGTGGGTCCTCCAACCCAGTATGTGGATAGGTGGAGTGGGAGCACTTGTGATCTCACTATGCTTCGTTCTCTCCCCACACCTGATCCATCCTAACGTGAAGTTGGAATGGGAGGATTTGGGGTTGCGGAGCACAGAGTTCTTGAAAATTATTTGCTCTAAGATTTGAGAGGGATAATATGTAAATATGATTGTTTCTAGCTTCCCATTAAGCTTCAACATTTTGAAATAGGCAGTGGGAGGAAAATATGAGACAACCACATGAGATGTGAACTATGAGGTATCACTCCACCCAGGGAAGATTTCAATACTGCACATGCATTCCTTCACAGAACCACTCTGAGCTTAGCAGGTTTGTTCTGTAGATTCCACAAGTCCAGATGTGGAAAAGATTGTGTATTCACTGAGAAATTCTGTATCAAGAACTTCACTCTTACTCATTATTACTATTGTCCTTAACTTTATTACATGCAGTGAAATAATTCAATATATTTCAACCAGTGCTGAAATACTTCTAATTCACATTGTTTGCAATCAGTTTGATGGCATAATGCTTAACTTCAGCTGGATCATGGGCTCCAGGAAGTTGGCCCCATTTTGGAGGTCACTAAAATTCTGCATTACAGGAAATGCAGAATGTGCAAATGTAAGTAGACTCTTAACCCTAACGTCTACCATAGTACCCTGAAATTTCTGTGGGGTCAGAAATTGAGACATTGGCTTACCTCCATGAAGGTCCATTCTGGGTTGTGGAGAAGGAAACATAGAGGAATAGGTTAATCTCTTTTTTGGTGCAGTCCAGGTACGAGGAGTGAATTTAAAAAGGCTTCACAAGCTCCTCCTGGAGTTTACCTTCCCCATCCTAGCCAGAGAAAGGAGGAGTTTGATATTATTTATTTGTTTAATTTACAGCCTGCCTTTCTCGTGATCAGAGGACTCAAAGCGGCTCACAGTATTAACAATAACAGAATTAAGAACACAATAAATTATACAGTAAAAAACCAGTTAAACTAGAACACATTACAATACACAGGAAGATTAAAAATATGTAAAACATTAAAAAATTATATTAACCATTTGGTTGGAACCAGATAACTCCTGGATAAGTTGATTATGAACACCTGATCTGAGAGGGATGACAAGGTGATTTGAAGTTCTTCTGAGCTCCAGGAAGGCAGGAGAAAACAGGATCAGATCGTCCAGATAAGGATGGACTGCCACCCCTTGCATGTGAAGGGAGGCTACCAGTTGTACCAGAAGCTTAATAAACACCCATGGTGCTTTGAATTTAAAATGGGAATAGCCCGAAGGCAAATTGCAGGAAATGAATGTGACATGGACTGATTGCATACGTAGGTGTGCCTCCTTGAGATCTATGGAGACCATGTAGTCCCCAAGATGAAGAGCTTCTAGAATAGATTTTAAGCTCTCAATTTGGATTTTTGTGTGTGCCGTAAATATGTTTAGGAATTGGGGTCTAACACAGCCCTACATAAGCCATTTATCTTTGGACTACAAACAGGATCTTGAGATGATGGATCTCTTGTGAAAGAATTCCCTGAGACTGGGGGTGGGGGGGACCTGCTCCTGGGATCTGGAGAAATTCTGTAAGATATCCTTCTCTGAAGGTTTGTAGCACTCACTGATAGGAAGTTGTCGTTTCCCAGAGAGAAAATGGGGAACACAACCCTTTACTGGAAGTGTTGAAAAAGCCGGTATGTCAGAAATTTTGCTTGGGAGGTTGGAAGGGGCCTGTGCTGGGCCATTGCTTTGGGCTGGACATGGGGTCAAGGTTGTAAATTGGGCTGAAATATGGATTTGGTCCAAGGGGGATAAAAATTACAGAAGTCCCTGGGACAGGTAAATCCCGATGATAAACAAACGGAGGAAAAACTCCTTCTGGTTTGTCTTATTTTAATTTTTTTGAAGGGGGGGATACATTTGGCATTGCCTTCTTTTTATCTTTGGTCTCCAGTAACACATCTTTGAGGACATGGTCCCCAAATATGTGAGTCTCTTTGTAGGGGACTGTAGCCAGACTAGATTTGGAAGACACATCTGCATTCCAGCACTTGATCCACAGGCAACTGGAAGCTACTGTGGCTACAGCAACAGAATTGGCTGCAGGGTCAGGGAAAACTAAGTAGCATCAGCAATATAGGCAAGGGACTTGTAAAATTTAATTGGGGACCTTTCAAGTACTTGGCATCAAGGTCAGGATTGTTTAACTGAATCCTCCACCCAAAGCACAGAAGTTCAGGGAGGAATCTGAAGAATCTCTAATTTACTAATGTTGAAGCCTGGTGGACTTTATGAAGAGCCTGCTCAGATCACTTTTCATTGGGCTCCTTAAGAGTGGCATCCCTTTTTTTTGGGGGGGGGGGAGCCAAAGCCCCCAAGAGCATAGCTGCAATAGAGGTGTCTACTGCTATTAAATTCTCCATCACTTGAGGAGCAAAGAGATAAAATTTCTTGGCAAGAGCAGTATTTTTTTTCCCCATGAAGTAGAATTTCCCATTCCACCTTTAGCATTTTGTCCAAGAATGCTGGGAAGGGATCCTCTCTACAAGATGTTTTGTCTCAGATTAACCACAAGCGAAATTCTCAGGCATCAGGTCTGTGGGTATGTGATCAGAGGCTTTGGAGTGCTGCAACCCCACTGTAGCCAGTGCCTTGGATAACTGGGAGAAAAATAATCAGAGCTGAATAATCATCTCTGGCAGGTTCTTCCTGCTGAGCAGAGTCCGATCGTTCCCCTGTATTCCCACCAGACCACTTCTATTGGGCAGAGGAGTTACCCACGTCTGTGTCTGGTGACACATCAGCTATCTCCATATGAGGAGATGGAGAAGCACTTTCCGCCTTATGTATCAAGAGAGGAAGCTGAGGAATGAAAAAGTGCTAGAGTAAAAGCAGTGAGAAGAGCATGTTTCCTTTTCTTCAGTGCTGATGCTGTAACGGTAGCCTAAGAAGGCATATGTGAGCTTTCTTAGGAGGTCCACAGGGTTGCAAATTGCCCTGAATCTCCCCTAGAACCAGTGTGGTTATACTGTTAATATAGGACTTTTCATTAAAGAGGGACATATTAAACATCGCTGAGAAGGCGGCAGTTCAAAATGGCCACCATGAGGAGGACCCGCAAAATGGCCACTGCCCTCATGAGCTGAGGAGGCGCCCACTGGAGATTTTGGGACAGGGTGCATCTGGAAAGGGCAGACTTTGTCTTTTCAAAATGGCTGACCCTTGGTTTCGGAGGGAAACAGCCTCAGCCTCTCCAACCCCAACAAACCTCCATTGCGGTGCTGCGGATTCATGTCCTCTGTACTGATGGATTCAGGCTCTTCCTCACAGCTGATGCAGAAAAGGTTTGGGGCTGAGCCTGAGATGTAATCAATTTCTACTTCTTCCTCCCCCCCGCCCATCTACACTCGCCAAGGTGGCAATGAAGGACCCCCAACCACACGAAACCTCAGGAGGCAATAATTCAGGGGCAGCCTTGGTGAATCAGGGAGTGAATCAGGCACCTTGCTGACCGCCACCCGCCCCCACCTTGCTTCAAGGACGAGGCTTGCGGAGGATCTTCGGCCAGACCTACTCCCTGAGGCAAAAGGAAGGAAAACCAACAGCAAGGAAGGCTCAAAGCAATAGAGGGGCAAAGCAGAGGAGGAGGGAAGATCTCTCTTTTCTTTTGAAGAGAAACGAACATGAGAAATGTAAATGAAGGGAACGTTATAAAAAGCAGAAAAGAAGTGAGGTATCGCAGGCCAGAAAGAAGAGAGAGCAAGAAGTGAGGCCTATTCTGGGTGAGGAAACTGGGAGCAGCCCGGCTGTGTCCCGCCTTTTCAAGGTCCCTCCTCTTACCTGGACACTCACTATGTTATGTTTTGTTTTTAAATTCATCTACAGTATATGAGCGTTAATGTCCATGCCTCACTTTTTTCTCCTAGGAGCAAGATTGTTTTCTTTCTTACCTGACCGGTTTTGGCCCAGAGGACTCTGGTTGCTGTGAAGTGCTGCCACCCAGATTCCACAGAAGCAACAAAGCCTATTATTTGTTTCTTCCATTTTGAGATAGATAATTTGGGAAGAATGATGTACCAAAAGCCTCCATTGTAGTTCTTTCAAGGGCTGTGACAGGAATAAACAGAGTCTTGCGGTTGATGGCCTCTCATTTCATGCAAAGGTTTTAAAACAAAGTTCCTACTTGCAGAGCCCACATTCTGAGAGAAAACATGTGGAAGGCATTAAAAGATTTCAGAGATCCGGCTGGCATCTTGCAATCAAATCTGTTTAGCTTTAAAGGGCTTGACATTTCAAAACTGATTTCAATACAAACTGCCTACATAATTAGCTCTTGTTTATAGACTTTTCTAATAAGCTTTTTTTACAAGGATATAACTTCTGTCTACTTTAAAGTGTTTGCTAACTATATTCTCTCAACATGATTTGGACAAATTGCTATAATTTTGTATAATGTACTATTCACAATTGTATGAAAAGATCTCATTCATACAATACTTGTGGTAGGAGTCCTGCTCAGTTCTGGATGTACATTTGCACTGAAGAGCAAAATGGGTTAACTAAACTATAGCACACAGAGGAATTATATCAGAAAGATGCGGATATCCCGGACAACCAAGACAATGTAGTTGCTGACCTTGAGCCAGACATCCTGGAGAGTGAAGTCAAGTGGGCCTTAGAAAGCCTGGCTAACAACAAGGCCAGTGGAGGTGATGGCATTCCAGTTGAACTATTTAAAATCTTGAAAGATGATGCTGTTAAGGTGCTACATTCAATATGCCAGCAAGTTTGGAAAACCCAACAGTGGCCAGAGGATTGGAAAACCTCAGTCTACATCCCAATCCCAAAGAAAGGCAGTGCCAAAGAATGCTCCAACTACCGCACAATTGCACTCATTTCACACGCTAGCAAGGTTATGCTCAAAATCCTCCAAGGCAGGCTTCAGCAGTATGTGGACCGAGAACTCCCAGAAGTACAAGCTGGATTCCGAAGAGGCAGAGGAACTCGAGACCAAATTGCTAACTTGCGCTGGATTATGGAGAAAGCCAGAGAGTTCCAGAAAGACATCTATTTCTGATTCATTGTCTATGCAAAAGACTTTGACTGTGTGGACCACAGCAAACTATGGCAAGTTCTGAAAGAAATGGGAGTGCCTCATCACCTTATCTACCTCCTGAGAAACCTATATGTGGGACAGGAAGCAACAGTTAGAACTGGTCATGGAACAACTGAGTGGTTCAAAATTGGGAAAGGAGTACAACAAGGCTGTA